ATCGCGTGTCGAAGGCGGCAGCGGCATTCGGGAAGCTTGAGTACCGAGTGTGGAACAACCATCAACTTACCTTTGGAACGAAGCTGGTGGTGTACAAATCCATGGTACTTTCCGTTCTTCTATACGGCAGTGAAACGTGGACAATGTACCGGCGGTATGTGTGATATCTCGAGCGGTTCCATCAGCAGTGTCTGCGACGAATTCTGCGGATCGGCTGGGGCGCCAGAGTTGCAGACACGGAAGTGTTGCGCCGAAGTGGGATGTATGCAGTGGACTGCATACTTTTATTGAGACACCTGAGATGGCTCGGTCATGTGAGCCGTATGGATTCGACGCGGATACCGAAACAACTCTCATACGGTCAGCTGAGTATTGGGAAGCGGCATGCTGGGAAACCAAAGTTACGTTACCAGGACATGATTAAAGTGAGCCTCACACGTTCTCATCTTGATTGCAGATCATGGGAATCGAAGGCGGTTGATCGGCGTGCGTGGCGCGATCTAATCACGAAGGCAGTTGCTGAAGTGCGGGAGAAAGCCCTCATGCATGCAGAGAAGAATCGGCAGTTGCGGAAGCGGCAAGCACCGATGAATTGTACTCCATCGACATCGAGCGCATTGTGCTGTAGAACATGCGGTCGCGAGTGCCTTAGTCAGGCAGGCCTAGTGAGTCATGAGAGAGGTCAGTCGGGACCACTGCCGAAGCGACGACGGGTCCTGCAGTGAACGTAGGCAGCACCGGCGCAGCGTTTGTAGGCACGCTGAATTCGATTTACTAACCGTGTGCTTGCATGCTAAGTCTCTTTATTTCAGGTGGTGGGTTTTCGGTTCTCTCTTAATTCCTTTCTTTTTCATATAAATGTCTAGTGGGCCATGCCATGCGCTGTGTCATTTGGGGCCACTACAGAAGCGACGACGGGTCCTGCAGAGAATTACGGCGAGCCGGCGCAGCGTTTGTAGGCACGCTGAAATCGATTTACTAACCGCGTGCTTGCATGCTAAGTCTCTTTATTTCAGGTGGTGGGTTTACGGTTTTTACCTTACTGCTTTTCTTTCTCATATAAATATCTCCCTGTACTCTATTCTATTAACTTGCACACATCGCTTCAGCCGATTGTATTCGATTTCCATAACATTTTTGTGTTCGTGGCATACCGTGAACTATACTTCTTGACCTCGTGCACTTAGCTAGGATGTGTTTGTAAACAACTTATTACGTATGCTATTTAATTAAGGTTTATGTCACCGTTTCCTTATGCATTAATCGAGTTTTTCTCTTTTCTTTCTCTCTCTCAAGTTATTGGCTGTTGTTTGATATCCCCGGTGTGGCTGCGCTTTATGTGCATGTTGACAAGGTTCCCACCTGTCTATTACCCGTTACCTCGTCCATACTGGCTCCAGGAGACAGTTGGTCGTTGCTGGAGGGGACAGGGTGCACGGTCCTTGTGGCCTTGCTAGGCTCGAAGAGTGGTTCCATGCACTCAGTGTGGAGCGGACAACGGTCCAGCCACCGCCTTGTGTGCGCTTGATTCCCCAAATACAGTGTACTTGTGTTTGCCTGTGAAGGATTGTGGGCCGGCTCCGTTGATGAAACGTGGCTCCCATCCGCATGCCTCCCGGTCTTATTCCTTCGGGTTTACACTGGATATGGGGTGTGTGGTTGGAGCTGTGGGTGGTGCAGCGCAAGCGATCCATGGTCCCTCTGTAGGCGCAGGCGTCCTGTGGCTTGCCACAATGACAGGCAAATCAGAAAACGGATGCCGCCAACCATATATATATATATATATATATATATATATATATATATATATATATATATAAGGTGTTCCATTGTGCAAATTGTATGTGTGTTCAAAAGGGTTCCCTAAGTGGACGTATCTGTTATATCTGACCCCACAGCCTGCTTTGCTCACATTCGCCAACGGTTACTTTGGTTCCCCATTGCGCCCTATTAGGCGCCTCTAACTAGATTGGATATGCTTTCTATCTGGTACACCAATGTGAGTTCCGTATAAGGAGTTTGGTACTGTCAACTAAGCAACCGTAGAAAGTTGACTCTTGTTTGCATGGATAGGTCAATCAGCTTACACCAGTCTGCAACATTCGTGTCCCCTCGTTAGAGAAACTACACTGAAATTGTCGCCGCCTCCACATTTTTGGTATCACTGATCCCATAATTAAGGGCAGAAAGGCGTATAACATAGGCCCGTGAATTCAGCTTTGTCTCTTATTGAGGCTATTATTCAATCTAGCTCGGTAAGAATCAAATGGACTGTCCATTGCATATACTGATTAACTATCTACTGATTTGCCGCTTGCTGGAAACTCGATGCTGATCTATTCTAACCATTCTACAGTCATAATAATCGCTAAGATAGATCAATAGTTTTTATCTATTATGTGTTCTCGAAACAGACCACACTGTTGGGAGTTCTCAACTCCAGTACCCAACTCAGGTGCATGAGATCAAGTGAGAGTTTCTGACTTTGATGTTACCACATGCTTTTCCTTTGGACACGGTAACTAATGAAGAACCATTAGTTTTATGAGATACATTGAGGAAACTTAAGTAGAGAGACAGATGGGGATTTGAGAAACTTAAATATCGTAAGAAATTGATTTATATAATCCATGTAAAGGTTCATTTTCTAGAAGGCAATCTCAAAGAATTGAGCAACTTGCTTTCGTGTTTGTCGAAAATCTAGGCTCTAGCTCCCCTACACTCTAGAGCATATCAAGTATGTTCTAATACACATTTTTCTATGGAGAAATGTAACATTACAATAATGTTTAATATGGCTTAAAATAATCCCAAAGGATGAGCAGGTTGAAAATCTGAGTCCAATGAAACCATTTCTAGACAATGTAGGCTGTGCATCTGTGGGCCCCCATTAATCGAAATAAATTGAACTATTGCTGACCAGATTTGATTCTTCAATTGTTGGGTGGTCTCGCGCGATTTGTCCTCAATCGAGATGGTCCCATTGTGGAAAGCACCGTCTGGCTGATTGGATCGCCTGCCCACTATGAGGGTGCTAGCTTGATTAATAACAATACTTCTGCGGTCAAAGGGTCAAGATCGACGAACCACCCAAGAAGTTATACACCAGTGACATTTGGATTAGCACAAAGATAAATCACATCACGAAAGCAACCAATTGAATGGAATCGATTTTCTTTGAAATCGAACATGGTGGACACCCAAATGATGAACGTCGTAGCAGTATTCCACGGTTGATGAACTCAGGTAGAAAAAATATCCGGTGACGTTTCACCTTGATTATAGGGGTGTGTTGCCAACTTAAGGTAATTGCTACTCAGCTTAGTGTGCTGGCCAAGTTTCTGGAGGTGACAGCAGGCGTCAGTGAGGTTTGCGACAGTCGGTCAGTCAAGACTTAGACGACTACAAATTCTCACCTACGCTAATAAGCAGATGAGCAGCATTTGATCGAAAATGGTAATGCTTCGTTACGGATCATCGATATCCATCGGGGATCAGCGAATTTTGTCGAGCAGAAAGCAGGAATGTTCATCCAATGAAGTAGCGTGCAATTTAATGTGGACACATGTCGTATTGCTGTGTCGTCATAAAGTGTAGTGGCCAGCTGAAGCACTTCAAAGTGCACCGTAAAGATCTTATTGAGCCGATTTGCCGTAAACTTCATTAAACAGTTTTCACATCCTTCAGTTAGTTCCATAGTCAAGCACCGGTACCGGCGTCCAAGTGGTGACCTTATTATGGCTTACCAGATTATGAGGACTACCAACCACGTCTGCCGTCGCCTACTACAACTGAGCTCCAGCAAGAAATTGATGGGCCACCAGTTTTACTTAGCCACTCAATACGGTCGGCTAGCATGTCGTCCGAACTTTTACTCTCTTCGTTTAGGTCAGCTTTGGAACGCCCTCCCAAATTACGTTGTTTCCGCCCCCACTTTACCTGTGCTTAAAAATGCCTTGAATTTGACTACCCCACCTACACTACGAGATTTAGCCTGTGTATCCCGACAGACGGTATCGTACGACGAAAGTTGCACAACCAGAATTAACCTACACAACACTGGTTGGCTCTTTCTGCGTGACTCTGTGCCAGGAATGTGGTGAGTCCACCAAAAAGATTTTAATTTTATCCCTTTTTTTTACTATTCACCATGTCGTGGTTCTTTTTTGGCCATCTTACGGGACTTGTTAAGCATCCGCCATTCTGCGCGTACTATACTATGGTTCCATTGTACCATAGTTCCTTAGTAATGCTATATTCAGACACTGAATTAATGCTCATTTTTACTTCTCAAGTGTTTGCCTGATGGGGCTTACGAAAATAGACTGCAAAGGGACTATTGGCAGATTGGAAATTCGTGGACCGGGGTTGGACTCCCCGTCGAGGCATATTATTGTGCGGGAATTTTAATCGTGGCTTCTACTTTCTTCGAACTTCACACTACTCACAAAATTCCAACACTAATCTACCATCGCTCTTTGGACATTTGAAGGACAGGTACTTCGGTCCATTGGGAAGTGACGTGTGAGTGAGCCAATCTGCAACATCAGGACAGGTACTGTGAGCCCATTGGCAATACGTCGCGCACCAAGCAGAAGTCATGTGTTAAAATTTGCGCACCTAATCGTCAGCCCTCGGTAGCTCAGGTGGTAGAGCAGCGGCCCGGAAATTGGTGGGCCGGGGTTCGACTCCCGGTCGAGGCATATTCTTGTGCGTGAATTTTAATCGTGGCTTCTACTTTCTTCGAACTTCACACTACTCACAAACATCCACCATCAATAAATATTTGTAGGGTCAAAGAGGGCAGTGTATGAAGTAGAACTGATACAGTCGCAATGAAACTTTGTATAATTATTGATTACTTTAGTTAAGCAAGCTTGGTTATACTCAATGTACCATGCGCTGCAGACTACACAGGTAGTTCTATTCTGCGCGCCGAACAAAGATAGACAATGAATGTGACAGCATGAAAGCAGGGCAGTTAGAACACATTGGCTTACCTAGCACAGGTAGTGTGCGCATGGATCGGGGTGCGTTGCTAGACACAATCACGACGTACATGGTCATACTGAGCACCAGAGAGAGTGCAACCGACAATCGATCTCCGGTGTCGTCCAGCGTGAAAATGAGACATGCCAGAGCAGAGAGCATGGAGAAGGGGACCAATACAAGCACGACAAAGTACAACGGTTGGCGTTTCAAATGGATACCAATGCTGACGTATTGGTATGTGATGTTCAAATCACTTCGGTATTTCCGACTGGCAAAATGCACCGACTGGATTTCCCATTCACTGACGTTCGAATTCGGTAGATAGCTGTTGTCCACCGTGGAACCATGTGTGAAAGGACGCAAGAGAAGCTGTTGCTCTCCACTTTGCCATGGTGTCAGAATCAAGAAGCAAGTTTGGAAATCAAAAGGAAAAAAAGCCACATTGAGCGGACATGTGGTGTCCAACACGGCACCATGAAGCCAGGTGATGACTCCGTCGTGGAAGACTGTGAGGCGACCACGAACCGCTGTGCTAAAGTCGAAGTCTGCGCTGCTCTTCGCGTTCATCACACCGACATCAGGAATCCACAAGTTAGTCGAAGGTAAATTCACTTCTGTGATATCTGAATAGTCTTGTGGATCCCATGTAAGACGTGGGTCGCACCATTTCTAAAAGTTTACCATTCGAATAACGGTGACGTGAAAGGGTATTTCATGCGTAATTGCTTAAGTTCTAATTAAATGCAACGTCGTCACAACCAAATCAAATTTGCTTCGCATTTAGGATGCATTTGTATTTACCAATCTCATGGCAAGCCGGCATGACGATCACCAAAAAGGGGGATAAAATCCACAATTGTTAATTGAGCATACTTTGCAATACGAATGGAATCATTCGGCATAAATTAATTTGTAAGTACCTCTGAGTTAGCCTACCTCAATCAATTATCCCTGTGGAAATTTTTTGCTTCCAAGGAATCCTTTCAAGTGTATAACCAAGCGAAAAGCAATTAAGGCTGGCTCAAAACAACGCCGTCCATGTTACGCTGAACCTACATGTTAGCGGTTAATCAATTTCAATGCAGAATGCAAATTTTCTGTTTCGGTGTAATGCGAAAAGCTGTTTCAGAATGCATGCAACACTCACATTTTGAAATGCTAAAAGCTCTCGTGCTACAGTACTTGCCGTTGCCAACGAAAGACTTCATGCGCTTGCAATTTTACAACAAATGTCAATGATGTGCTGCTGGACACGCTAAATGACTTCAGGAATGAGAAATATGAGTTGGGATGCTAAATGATAGACTTATCTGTATCCATCCCTAGTGCATATACATCTGAGGCTGCTAAACGTACCTTTTCTTGGTACCTTGAAATTGTCCGCTGTTGATCAGTTGCCGTCTCGGTTTCTTTGCACTTCTATACTACTGATTCTTGGCGCAGTAGTGCCTGCTTTCAGCCTGCCAGAAGTTATTTTTAAAGCGTTCGCATAATTCAAAAGCCCTACTGCACCTGTGTGCTTCATCACTATATGGGTTTCTGCCCTGCACTGATAGAAATTTCATTGTAATACTTTGCTGCATGTGCATGGTCAATTTGCTGCTCACTAGCTTAAATAACTTTATATTTAAAGGCGCGCGATATTAGTGGATGTAACTAGTGACAACAAACGGTTAGTAGTATTACTCGCATGTATATATTACATCACGAGATTAGATATTGAAACTGGAAGTAAAAAATCGCCCACATTGGATTAAAGCCCCCAAGTATGAGCCTAAATTCTGACCAAAAAATTGATCGCTGGTGGAAAGTCAAGGCGCTGCATAAACCAAGGCTCGATTTCCGACTGTGTTACACAAGTTTTCAAATCACAGAACTCAAACATTTTCACCAATAATCCAGCAGTTTAACAAATGGCGTCCTTTCCTTGTACTTTCCTTAGCAACACGGCTGTCGCATTCAAACATTCTTAGTTGCTTGTCACTAACAATGCCTGTCTAGGTTCATCTCATACTAATGGTAATCAGAATCGTTTATTTAGTTATCTAGTCACCATCTAACTCCACTACTCTATGGAAACTCAGTAAATTAACTACATCGGATAGATCTCCCCAAAGTAGGAATAATTTATATACCCTCATACCAACCATCGGTATGTTTGCCATGTCGAAATGCAGCTTGTTCACTTTATTACTGCATGAAGGCAGTACGCCTCAGGTCAAACCACTGCTGCGTTACCGTGTTCCTCCACCGTTAGGTATTCGCATTTATCAATCCAGCTATGTACCTTTGGCTGCCAAAATTGGTGTGCCTGATGGGAAATTAAACCGCCCTCAACTAGCAGTTGATTCGATGAAGAAGATGTAGAAAAACAATTCCACATAACTTCTCCCATTCGTTTGAGAGAACTGGTTCTCCGCATAATGTAATTACTAACACACTTGCCTATGGCAATTTGTTGTTCAGAATACCACAATCCACCTTAGATACAAGATGAGTTTTGATGTAATACTAACCAAATTAATGGTGGTAGCCGCACAGAGAGCTTTGCGACCTCAAACTGAAGCAACAGACCTAGGCATTCTTCCATAGCTTATACATTTTGAATGCATTAGGATGTTATAACCCTACCGAAGTGAAACCGTTAGTGGTAAAACTAAGAAAAAAGTTTTCATTCATTGGATAAATTGAAGCCTAAGTAGAGCTTAGACTTAACTATTTTAACGGCTAATTGTAGATGATAAGGTCAAAAAATACACATAACTTCGGATTTCGGCACTCCAAATGACTTTCTTTAATAAATCTAAATTGTCTGCGGAATAACGTTTCATTTATTATCCACTTTACTGTTAATGTATACCACGTATTTTGCATTCCAATTCAGGAGCACAATTTATGGTGAGGCGGGAACTACTTTTCTGTCAGTGATCAGTCCACATTTCGACCGGAAAATCCTGCAATAGGCCTTTGAGTAATAAGCCACCCACGCGGGATATTAAAGCATACTTTGGAAGGTTGGATTTGCGGTGGATAAATAGATGCGATAGGTATAAGAAAAAAAGCTGCTCTCTTCATGGTATTTGTTGGTCGGACTGTCTATTCTGTTCTGGATTATTTGACCCATCTAAATTCCGCAACTAAACTGCGAGAAGATGAACGAAATAATTCACGTTAGAGTTACTTAACACCAGTACATTCTGCGACCATGGAGTGTGAAAAAGTAAATCTGTTCCATCATCAGTGGAATCAGTCCTTATGTGATTTAATTCTGCGTCTTGCGTTGCTCATTCGGAGACTCCACAGAAGATTACCTTAGTGTTCGTAAGATACCTGACACCAACACTCCGAATTTGCAGCATCGGTTACTTTTACGCCATGAACAAACTCAGAAGCGTTAAAAAGATTTATCTGAACAAGCAAGACGTTTCCGAAATTTTGAAATGAACAATGATTTATAACGGGTAAAAAAGCAGGTGCTTGACATGTCCCGTGGGGTGTTTAGAGTGAGAAAAGATAGCTCAAGCGATAGTGGAGTCGTCAGTTCGGGCGATTACAGATTTAACTGCACTGGCGTATAAAGGGAGTTTGAAATGAGAATGTACACACACAAAGCAATAACGGAAGTGGTTATTGATCACGTAATAGGCGAGAAAAAATAGGAAGGACAACGCTTACTTGTGTGCGGATATCTTGGGTCGACAGGATACAGAAATCCAGTTTCTATGGCAGTAGCGTTTACCAAATTTCGTGCAAGGGGTTTGGAGTGACTCATTCTCGAGTAGGATTTTGGCCCTGTCCACTGTCTGCTGTGCATTAGTGCCAGCATCTGGTGGTCATGGGCTACAGCACGTAGCGTAAATGTGACGGAGTATCGTCAAGGTGCTTTTTAAAAAGGGATAGGGTGGGTGCATTAAATACATGTTCCGAGAGAGCGTTCCAAGGCTGCACAACTCGAAGGAAGAAATAGTTTCGCCGACGTTCCAGGCGGCTGTACTGCGTGACCAGCTTAAACTGATGACATCTTAGCGAAGTGTTTTGACTGAGTGTTAGAAGGGAATGGCATGGGTGGTTGGGGTTTCTCAGGATCAGGTACACCATTATGACATCGCCCCTTAGACGCCGATAACGTTCACCGTATATTTTGAGAGTCTTTAGCCTTAGTGCGTATGGGAGGCTGGTCACACCTCTGACGCTCTTCGTTGCCCTACATTGTGTAGTATCGAGCGCGGTGAGATGGTGCTTGAGCCAGAGTTGCCACGCTTGAATATCGTATTCCGCGTGCGGCCTCACGTACGCACTAAGCATTTTTGGAAAGACTGAAGGGTCAAACTTCCCGAAAGCTCTGCGAAGAATGCCGAGATACTGGTTTGCTTCCTTAGATGCCTTTTCAGTCTGCCTCAAACAACCGAGGTCATCTTGAACTATCACGCCGAGATCGCATTCGTGAGAAGCCCGCTGAAGAATTTGTAGTTCTAGGCGGTACTTTTGCATACTCTTGTGCCGTATACTGAGAAGTTTGTACTTGGTGACGTTGAAATGCAGCATGTTCTCGATGGACCATGTGTACGCTTTGTCTAGGTCCTCCTGTAACACTGTGTGATCCTCCACTGCAGCTATAGTACGCCATACCTTTAGATCATCAGCAAATAGCAAGCAGTTAGAAGATAGCAAGCTCGCGAGATCATTTACGAAAACCAGGAACAGGCGGGGTCCAAGTACCGAGCCTTGAGGCACGCCTCACTGAACTCCGATGAATTCCGATAGGTTGCTTCGAACTTTCACATTCAGGTGACGTTGCACGAGGAAGTCTCTTATCCAGCCCAGAACAGGATCGACGATTTTATGCTTCTGGAGTTTGTGGAGGAGAATGCGATAGTCTAGACGGTCGAACGCCTTTGAGAAATGAACCATTGGCACCTCTGACCGATAGACGTTATTCAATTCATTTGAAAGTAGAGCATCTGATGCACAATGAAATAAGTCGTTTCGCAACTCAATGTCAGATAAGCTTAACTACTTCGATTCAGCAAACCCTTCCATTATCATTCAACTTAATATTGGCTGTAAACGACTTGACCGATTTCTTTTATGTGGGAGTAACAACCAAGGTGTTTTCTCTGGGCTGCATCTGTCCATGTTGCGGAAGGAGTCGACGCTGCCTACCTTGATTTTGCAAACGCTTTTGATTATCTACATCACAGAATTGTTATTCCTAGGCTTCAGTACTATACCCTCGGTGACCAATTCTGGACTGAACACATTCATTGTTACTCCAATACCGCTTGAATTTGTGGGATTGTTGTGCCATGTCTTATGCGATAGAGGTGCATTGCATCGTCGCTCAAGGCTGGGTACTAGCATCACAGCTATTCATAGTCTACAACCGATCTAGCGGGAGTGTTCACCTCGAACCTTTTAGTTGTTGCGGATGATCTTGAGATTTAGAGAGTGACAAAGAGAGTAGGCGACCAGTTAACATTGCAGCGTTGTCACATAAGAGCAAATGAATGGTCGGCTCAAAAAGTGCAAAAGTTGAATCCTGTCATTTGCAAAATAATTTGCATACACCACCAGAGCAACTCCGAATATCAACTAGGAGAACAAGTCTTACAGCGAACTTCCCAAGTGTTACGGACTCAGTCCTTTATGGATAAGCGTTTATTTAGCAAAGTCAAGTCAGCGAAAATTACAGCATGTTTGGCAAGCCAAACTCCTCGATATAAATTGCACATTTAAGTCCATAACAAACGACCCTTCTGAGTCGATAAGGTTCCTTCTTGGATTCAGTTAAGCAAACGATGAACCACTCACAAGTCTTTCGGCCAATCCGAGTCCAGCACTCGATTCCGTTACACCCGTCTCCCACTGGCTGTCAGGCTCGCTCGGTTAACCCATCCGCTCACTCTGATCTGACACTCGGATCACACCATGGAAGTGATCTTGTGGCGCTCATACATGACGATATCGGATGCTCAAGGAAGGCCGTGAAAGCAGTGGTAAAAACCAACCAACAATTTTTTGTTTGCTGTGGATGATTAGCCGGTTTGGTCCTGCATTCTTTTCGCAAATTGTCAACCTTTATAGGTCATAAGTAAAATGCGCCATTCCAGTGTGGCATCCTTGGCAGAAACATGACCTCACTGCTCTTGAGATAGCAAAACGAAGGACGACAAAACGTGCAAATGGCCAACTCTACCTCCCCACTTTGGACTATAGACCATAAGAGTTTTCAATGAAAGTGTCAGCGTCTTCCGTGTATTCTTTTATCAGCTTAACAGATCCTCAATATCCTGTATACCCATGCCGATATTTTTGAAATTCAGTTTCAATACCTCATTGATAAGCCACCATTTGAATTTGCCCACACAGTACAGCCGTTTGGAATGTTGCATTCGTCTAGTTCATCTGTGAAAGGTTCTTCCACATTCTGTCATCTTCGCTGCAAGCTTAGCCGAATTAGTGCCGCATCACACCTACTGCATCAAGTGATTTGACCTGCTTTTGGGACGCGACACAACGTAAGCAAACTCTGTTTACATGTGCAAATGACGCTGAGTCTACCGTTATGCGTTACTTATCCTCGATAAGTTCACCTTTCGCTCTCACTGTTTACCTCCGGAAACTGTTAAACATATAGCTCTTTTGTCATTGGTAAATTTATTGTTCTACTGTTCACCTTAGTGCCTGAATTGCCAAAGGGAATCTAATGGTTCCCCATAAGTTAGCCGATTAAATTCAACTGCTACGACTATATGTTGAAGAGCACAGTTGGTTTCCATCCATGTTACCTAAACGACTTGTCGGAGCTCGCCTACTACCTCTGTTTACTACAAGATAATGCGCTAAGTGTGCACTTGGCCAAAATACGGAACGGTATAAGCCAATGACTAAGTGCCTATATATGGTTGCAGTTCGATACGATTCGAATCGTAAACCTAACCCCATTCTCGTAGAGAGTAGAAGCCACGATTAAACTTTGCATATTAATCCTCCTCGACGGGGAATCGAACCTCGGACCCACGAATTACCGGTCCGCTGCTCTACCACTGAGCTACCGAGAGCTGACGATCAGGTGCGCAATATAATATATGACTTCTGCTTGGTTCGCGACGTATTGCCAATAAGCTCACAGTATCTGTCCTGGTGTTGCAGATCGGCACACTCACTCGTCGCTTCCCAATGAACCGAAGTATCTGTCCACCTGATGTTCAAAGGGCGATGGTAAAGAACTGGTAACTTACTACTCACACCAACCCCCAGTAATTTACCATCTCCATTTGAACATCAGGTGGACAGATCCTTCGGTTCACTGGGAAGTGACGAGTGCGTGAGCTATACTGCAACACCAGGACAGATACTTTGAGCTTATTGGCAAAACGTCGCGAACCAAGCAGAAGTCATGTATTATATTGCGCACCTGATCGTCAGCTCTCGGTAGCTCAGTGGTAGAGCAGCGGACCGGTAATTCGTGGGTCCGAGGTTCGATTCCCCGTCGAGGCGGATTATTGTGCAAAGTTTAATCGTGGCTTCTACTTTCTACCAAAATTACACTACTCACAAAATCCACCACTAATCACATTCGCCAGAATTCGGTATAAAAACTGATTACCCATTGGTTTCGGAGGGTAATAAAATACATATCGGTTGTCTACGGGTTTGTATTACGGCGAGGTTCCAGTCTTGACACAAGCGCTTCATCAGATAGACTTACGACCAAGGATAGGTTAGATGGTTTAGCTGTCAGGGAGGAAAAGACGGCATATTGTCTTTAAAGAGCATCTCTTCAGGTAGGCTTACTACTATAAAGAAGTCAAGTCAGTCCGTTTCCAGTGAGAATATTTCCTCGCCTGTTTTTCAAGAGGCATTTCTCAGGCTAGCTTACATTGACGAGGAGCTCGTTTTGCGGAAGAGTAGCAACCAGTTTTGAAGACATCATCGCATTTTGTGATGGTGTAGCTATTCAGAGAAGATAAAGGCAGAGCGGATGAGTTTCAGAGCAGCAGTACACTAGTGGTCCGCCGTAATGGTCACTACGAATGGAGAACGAAGATTTCCGCAGTGGCTCAAGACGTCATGTATCCAAGCCGACGTACAGACCACTAGACTAAAAGTGTGGATGCATGGTACGTGAAGTTTAGATCATATAAGCTTAACGATATGGTGCGGATACCTCTGTAGTCGACTTCGAATTAAAGCTTGGGCGTTATTATGCATAAGTCAATTCAGATTGAAGAGTGGGTAGGAATAGGCTTTGTGTCTATACAGCAAATCACAGGTAGGCTTTTGCACACACAGAAAGTTGCTCCGACTAATCTCATGCGTCAAGGACGAAATGTAGTAGTACTTCAAGCCTTTAAACAACCGATCGGACTTTTACAGGCTTTCAAAACTATGAATACGCAAACGGTTAAAGTATTGTTTCAAAGAAATTGATTACCCATTGGTATAATTTTTCCGAGGCAAAACACTGTGAACTCACCATTGTAAACCAACCGGAAATACTCATTGTCTCCTCTGCTTGTGACTGAAACGGAACGATGAGGAAAAGGAAAGCAAATAATGTGCGCGTTTGCAAAAATACGATTAAGCAAACCAACATGTTTTTCTGTTGATCGCGCTTTGTCTTGGATGATCACCTATCTCCTGTGTTTTTCAATTATAACGCATATTATCTAAACCTCCTTGGCTCATGGACTTCAATTAGTAGCAAAAGACGTTACTCATAAAGATACCGCGTTAGTTACATTTAGGCTGAATACTTCACTTAAAGTGGGACTGAACGCCTGGACCCCTGAAACAAGTTGATACTGGATCTTGCGCTAACTAACAAAGAACTCATTATTAAAGGGAGAGTTACAAGCACGCCCCTGGATCGAAGTGATAATGTTACTCTACTTTTTGACTATATATGCTATGCGAGTACCCTGAAGAGAAGGACGACAAAGTGCCTACTGTCATGCGCTACAATGTGTTAGCTAAGCTTGTTAAGGATACATCTTGGACTTTCTTAACCGAATGTCCCCAGGTATTGCCTGGGAAACATTTACAAGGACATTTAGCACACTGGTTGCGCACGAATCGGAACAGAAGTCCTTCCAACCCAAAAACCAGCATAAGTAATTTCTGAAGAGTAGAACACGTAAATGTATATCACGGAGGGATTTGGCATGGCGAGCTCACAAGAACTGCTCGAAGCCCGAAAGCTGGACTGCATACATTCGGTAGATGACTCAGATGTGTTTTGCTTTCATCATATTCACCCCAACCATCCTACGGGACGTGTTAAGCACTTGATTTTATCCCGGGATAAATCATTGTTCATTGATTATGTACACATAAAGTGATGCCTGGATTACCTCACTTAGCTGAGGATAATCCGGTGCCCGCACACCCCATTTACATATGCTTACAAGCCTGACTGTGAACAATGAACAATGAATTTATACGGGTTAAGAAGCACCACTTCACTGGTCCAGGTGGATAGTTGGTAGGGATACCGAAAAGATACCACAGCTGCTACTACTACTACTACTACTACTACTACTACTACTAATGATAATAGTAAAACAGTAATTTAAATAGCAAAATAAGGACGTATAGTTTGTTTCGCTGTGGTTCTGAACTCCACGTAGATTCACCGCACCCGCAGTTAAAATCAACTAATTTCATGGTAAACTCCAGGTGTAGGATAGAGGCGTAGTGCTAAGTGCCAAAGTGTAAGTGGATGAGTGCGTCATCCAACCGTCTTCTAAATACCCTTAGTGTCGGTACAGTGAAGACTGATTCTGGGTGAGCATCCTACGGGTGATAGACAGGAATGAAAAAGAAATTTCTGCGGCACTCCAGACTGCTATACTGTACAGCGACTTTCAATGTGTGGCCCCTCAGGTTTGCATTGCTGCTGAGTTGCAGTAACGGGCGGCACACATGATGTGGTTCTCGCAGAATCAAGTACACCATAATCAGGTCTCCACGTAGTCTGCGATAGCTTCCACTGAATCCCCCAATCGTTTCAGCATATTCTGGTATGAAAGATTGCGCATTCCAATTACGTTCTTACACGTCCGAAGTTTTGGCCTCTCCAGTGTATTAACGTCGTATTTCAGCCATGGATTCCAGGCTTTAACTGCGTATTCTACATGGGGTCGAACATACGCACTCATGATTTGTCGAAACATGGAGCTGTTTATGTGTTTAGACGCCCGTTGCAAAAGCCTGACGTGTTGATTTCCAGTCTTCGAGGCCTTTTCGGATTGCCTGGAGCAACCTAAGTCATCTTGAACCAGAACACCCAAGTCACGTTCGACGGTTGATTATTGCACTGCATTTGTTCTGAGTCCGATAGAATAGTTCCTCTGGTGTCGTATGATGAGTACCTTGCGTTCATTCACTCAGCAATGCAGTAAATTTTGGGTTGACCATTGATAAACCGTGTCTACGTCAATCTGAAGCAGAGGCTAGTCGGCGTTCACATAGATCCAGCGCCAAATATTGATATCGTCGGCAAACATTAAGATATTATGAGCGCTTTCCTGTGTGAGGTAATTAAAAAAGCATACAGACGTGGACCTATACTCGGAGGCCGCAGCACAAGCATGTAACACGGATTCGAGACGCCTATCATTTGGAAGCGGGTTGCTGCACTACTGGTGGTACCTGAGCTGACTCATGCGGGAAGCTGTTGAAATCAGGCCGGCAGCGCGAAACCGGTTGCCACGTGACAGAGCGGACCACAAGCAAGTTTGAAATCTGTCCAGGGTAATTGGCTTGAGTCAGCTCAGGAACTAACTACAGGAGATGATAGATTGTGACCTATAAAATGAACCGCGTTCTGTGCCTAAGATATTTCCGTCTAACATGTTTTGGTGTTTTGTTTCGTCCCCAGCTTGGTTGTCAGTAGCAGAGAGCAGAGGGAAATCAGCGTTACATCAACTTAGAACTGAGCCTTGCGGCACACCACACTTGACTTTTATGGGCTTAGATAAAAGCTCGGAACTCTGACCACCAATTGCCGTTGAAGTAAAACGTTTGGCAATCCCGCTTAAAGGGGGTCGCCGATCCCGTAATGCTGGAGCTTGGTGAGTCGTTTTCGATGGCTTAGACGATAGAAAGCCTTCGAAAAATCCAAGTAGATAAAACCAATACCTTCTTCAACGTCATCTGACTCGGTTCAACTACTGCGTACGATTAGCAAATTCGTTGTGCATGACCGGCGTCTACGCAAGTTATGCTGCTCAGGCGTGGTGATGTTACATTTTTCCAGCTAACACGCCAGTGCATCGATAGCTATGAATTCCATGACTTTGGAGAGTAGTTAGGGGGCTTAGTTCTGCTTCCACCTTTGTGAATCGGGGTTATTATTCTGAGCTTCCGCACAGTGGGAACTTGATTCTGATCTAATCAGTGCTGAAAAATTTGAGCTGCACTTGCTGCCAGTTGGTTTAATGCTGCTTCCAGTGCCTCTAGACTAATGGTATTGACACCCGTCAAACTGTGTTGCCGTGGAGAAGTCATCTTTCGCAATACCGCCTCCGCGGTAAAAGCAATGTGGGTTAGTCCTGGCGGAGAGACGATAATGGCTAGAAGATCACTTGGTGTCAAAACCCACTGAAACGTTGGGGCGTATTGTATACGCAGCGCGTGTTCTGCATCTAAAGACTTTCTTGAGCCATCAGCTGTCCTGAGTGGAGGAAACCCTTGCCTGAATTCTCGTAGGCTATGGACGTCTTTGTACAGCAGTTTGTGGTTAGCACTGAAGGCTTTTGCAATCTTCTGTCGATACTCGGATTTGTCTTCACTGAGCACTTGAGTGCAATAGTTACGTTCGGCTACGTAGTTGTCCCAAGTTTCTTGTGCTGGATCATCTCTGTACACTCGCCATGCTGCGTTGCGTACTGTCCTTCATTGTCGAATTCTGCTCCTAATGAAATAAACTGATGTACACTTATAGCAAACTCTTAGTTCAGAAGCATTTGCAACCAGTGACTGAATTTCTTGTAGAACTCCCGCCAGACAACTTCCGGGGGTTCTTCGGTAAGGAATGATAAGTTGTAGCGCTGACGAGCTGGACCAATTGATCGTAGCTTGTGCTGGTTCCAACAGTCGCATCGTTTTCATTCCGATGTTCCGCACAGTGGACGAAGTTTAAACTGATGACTGCGTCATCACGGCGACCCAACGACATGCTTACAACCAATCATATGATTTTCGTTAGTGATCTCAAGATCTAGCACAGATGGCATGTTATCTGTTCTGGACTGAGTGGGAAAAGTGATGGTAAAGAGGAACAGTGGTTACAAGCTCTTGTAGATCGGCTCTGAATCGTTCTCCAATCGTCTCAGGGGTTCCCGAACAATATGTATTGAAATCAAGTATGATAAGCATGTGAGTATACGTTCACCTTAGACTGCACGTTAAAGCCGCAAGCTGACCTTTAGTTTTGGGTGTAGAGTTAGGGGGCGGTACGCCAAGACCATAAGGCAGGTGTCTTTGCCTTTTAAGTGCGAGCGGCAGGAACGGGAGCCGGGGAACTGCTAGTCGGAATCTTCTATGGCTTCACACAGTAAGTCGGTTCAGTAATACTGAATTACCCCACTTCCTTATATGAGTCCATCGTTTTGGATGAACGATATGCCACGTAGCAAATTTAGGCTTCCGTCAATCCCGTGTGCAACTACTTCTCAGTGATACCGATAGTGTCATATGACCGAGAAGCTTGGTGATCTATCAGTCCGACCAGTTTATGAAAAAGACCCTGAGAATTCGTGTAAAGCACGCAAGCTTCTCGGTCTCTAGCTGCCCACAATGGGCTGAAAGACTCAAGTGAGGGAGAATACTGACCGATGGGAGGTCGGCAGTTACTCGTGTTTTGACTGTATAATAATAACTCGTCTGTAACTTGATTTGAGCAAAGTGCGTTCCATATTTCGTTTAGACCTAAGTCAGAGTTGACTAAAGCAGGAGCCAACTGGAGCTCTTTATCGTCCTCGGTACGTTTGCTGCTTCAGGTGCTTGAATATTTTAAATTCGCAAAGCTTCTGTGGACTTTATCCGAAGTTTAAAAGGAAGATATTTCCGATTTCTCAGCCAACGATCTAAAACATCGGTTGCTTGTTGCTCTGACTGAACCACAAGTTTTAGCATTCTAGGGCCGCATGTTGTATAATTTGGTGAGAGAGATATGCTGGTGAGCAATAGCGCCAAAATATTATCCAGAATGTGTTTCACGAATGAACTGACACTGTTCTAACTCGTACTTTTGCGCGTCTTGAACGTCGTTAGAAGGATTCGCTAGCACCCCATGTAAGAAGATCATGTTTAGGCAATCTTGCTTGCCGTGTCCCTATTCGGTGTTTCTTCTGGATTGTCGCGCGCTCCTAGGGATATCAGGGTAGCTGCGTATCCCACAGGTTCCGTGTTTTAGAACTTTTGCGGAGAGCAATACGTTTTCTGTGTCGGTGAAGGATTCTAATGTTATTCTAATATGTCTGGGTTCTCCATAGTGTAGCCAGTCCAGATGAAGAGTAATCGGTATGAAGCTTCTACGCTTGGTTTTGACATTCATCAGCAACCACATTGAGTTCCCTTGGTCTTGGTAGTCTAATACATTACCATGCAATGTGATGCCGGTAGATTCGGGAAATTTGAGCACACTACCGTCAGCGCACTATTGTTTCATTCTTCTTGCGTTGATCACCTACGGAATGCACGCATTACAGAAACCGGTTGCAGGAGAGAGCATCGAGGTATGCACCGATTTGGTGTAAAGAAAGCGTTTCGCATATAACTGCATCCACCACCCGGAGCACACAGTCCACGAGTGCAAGGGATCTGCCATACAAGATACCAAGTTCAACAATCGCCCACCATCTCTTGACAAACACTATATGTGCCACATCGCATGGTCCGTATGATTTAATTGTCTGCAATACGGTAAATCGATCGCGATCAAACAACTTAACTCCAGAACGCTTTTGCCACGCTGGCTCTAACCTGGAACTAATCCGTTGCGGGAGGTTAAACTGGCAGGTGTTAACTAAATAAATATTTTATTTTCGACAAAACGAGGCATGGCTTTTGGGCATGAATGTGTGTGCGAAGTACTAATTCAAATACCTGTACGGTATTACCTTTTACGTTCAAACCTGTCTAAGGCGACTACTCAAGGGACTGACAAAAAGTGGTCGCCGTGGGCAGGTTCATGCATGGGGACATTTCTTATAACATATGTTTTGGCTGATCGCCATAAACAGGTTGCAACACACTTGCACATGGTGTGTAGTACGCAATTGACAATCTGCAGCAATATGTATCCGGATATAAATTGTATTGGAACTCTGGCTGTTTTAGTTAACATGGGATCACAGACACGTAATTGACTCACAGAGTAAATCATCACATACTGCTGCTCACGAAAATCACAATCTAAAAGAAACAACTCACAAATGCCAAAATTTGCACCACGTTGTACGTGATATTTATGTACACCGGACTTTTGGAGAAGTTGCTTTGTCCGTTCGGGCGAACCATCAAACTCCCTCGATTGAGCAACTGAGAGACTAATTTCTCCTCCGGCGTGAATGCTCGCTCCGAAGATTGGGGAACTTCATAGGCAACTGAGAATTCGCCTTGATTTATCGCTTTCGTAAATAAACAAAGCAACATGGTCAGTTTAGACAAACAATCAGAACTATACGCTTTGGATTGAAGTGTTGTCAAAGTTGTCATTTCTTGCTTTTATTCTTAGCAGTCGAAATACCAGTAACGTAAACGAAGGTAGCTGCCATAATCTTGATGGCAAAACTTAGGACTTCTCTGAACTAATAATTGAAGCACGTGTTCCAAAATGGGGCTAAACGTTTTTCGGGTTTTTTGGAGCACCCGCCGTGTGTCTTGGATTGCGACACGCAATCTCATTAGTGGCGGCGGCTGACTTGGAAGTCAGCCTCTAAACGTTGTCGTAAAGAAGTTGCATCATCATATCAGTAAAGGAATCACTTTTACTTAGGTTTGTTTTGTTATCTTTTGACCCGTTGCATTAATCTCATAAGAAAGTGAAGAGACTTTGAGAGACCGTGAGGTACACACATTAAACTGTGTGAAGGTTGGTGTAATGAGCGAGACACTCTGGTACGTGGTAAACTTGATTACAGGACAGCACTTATTCACTTTCCAAAAATGATGGTTGTTTGAAGAGGGTTGCTCGTGTATGGTGGCAAGAGTGAAGTCCGACCTCTTGTCTTAGGTAATATGGCTGTTCCTATCCCCAAACCGGTTTTACTGCACCAGTTAAGATGGCACGTTCACGTCTTGCGCATGTCACCTGAGCGTCTGCTCCATCGACACTATGTTCGCTCCGTGCAGGATCCGGGTAGGAGAGACCACGTGGCAGTCAGTTGTCCACCTAGAGACATCATATGAAATTGTTTACTTCGCTTCTTGTTACTGTTGGATCCACAAGCCTGCCTCTGTCGTAACGAGACTGGAACTTAACATGATGTCCAGGTTTGCGTACTCGGTCGACCCAATGAGCTATACTGGGTGATGCCTCCGGGCCCCTTGAGAGCTACTCCCACCTAATTGGTCAATGGTGAGAGGTCAGACAAACTCAGTCTCCTGGTCCTCCAAGATGAAGTCCCTTTTTGTAATTATAAATCATTACCACCTCTACGCTGCCTTGCAGACAGGCTTTTGAGACAAAAGCTTTGGCTGAGAACCCCACTCGTCCTGTTGTCTAAATCTGAGCGCCCTGGCAATTTCTCAGCCATGACGATGTTTTTAAACGTGAACTATATCACGCACCGGCTGTCGCGCAGCTCATCAAGGGTCGCCTTATCTGCTTCATACCGTAGGGCGGACAAGCGAAAACTTACTACTGCTGGCGCCTTCCTTCTTTCTTTTCCTTCTGTTTCTCTTACTCCCCTCCCAACCCCCATTACTGCACTTCTTTTTACATTTTCCAACTTAGTTGAGAGCAGTCGGAATGCCACTGGAGTCGAACCATCGGCAGCTACCTTCCCGCACCACAAACTGAATGCCTATCGGCAACATTCTCTTATAAGGCCATGTTGACGCGTTTCGTTGGCGGTGTTCAGCGTTCGCATTATATGAAACTTGGTCAACAGGCTGCACTCACACACTTTTTGGATACACTGGGGATTGACGTATTCAAAACGAAGAGCAACGACCATTGTGGGGTTGTTGAATTAACTGCGTCCAGCTTGTCCTCTGGCTAATGGTTGCACACCTCCGGAGACATTGATGCGGCAACCTCTGGGCAAGCTGTGGTAAGCAATATACTCAACTTCAAGGCTGAGTCTTCATTGGTTGATTGGATTCCGATGAACAGCCGTTTGTGTGCGGCCTCTTTGAAGACATCGACGAAGATTGATTAGCGAAGTAGTGCAAGGCGCTGTTTGTTTGTGGTTTCCGCTTATACCCCCACCGATTGTAGCTCTGATGCTACCAAGCACGCATTCTACCACGAACTAAACACGCTACTACACAGTGCCACCAGTTCAGATATCGTAATACTCACAGGGGGTATGAATTCAGAAGTAGGTCGCCTGGGCTCTTCAGAAGCTCAGTTAGGTGGTAAATATGCACTTAACTCCCGACGGTCGGACAGCTGCGAGCGTCTGTTAGAGCTGTGCGCGGCACACCAGTTGTTTCTTAATAGCACCGCTTCTAGACACAGTGGGTGCCGAAGTGTCAATCAGCGTCCTCCTGTAGCTGGCCAACCATGGGCCCAAATAGATCACATTGATATAAGTTATAGATGGCGGGATTTCATCTAGTATTGTCGCACGTTTCGGAGTACCTGCGTGAGTCCTAATCAAGCCTTGGTACGCTGTCGCTTTTCCAGGAACTTTTCCGGAGGTGCACCAGGCATCTCTCCCAATGGGCAACTGAGAAATTATCCCAGCCGTTGGTCAGGCAAGGCTACCAAGCTGCACTGCGTACGGAACTTCCACTCCATTGTTCTAATAACCTGGAAAAGGAAATCGGCCGTCATGCACGACGCAGGTGCATCTGCTAATGGTACTATCAGTCATCACCCCACCAGTCACTGGATAACGGAGAAGTCCGTGAACCAGTTGGAATGCGGAAGAAAACTCTCGGCTTGCTCTGAGCTCAGTATGGCTAGACGCACTACTAGGTACGAACTAAAGCGGAGCCTGCGTGCTGACAAGTGAGCCTGGTGGTCCAGTCGGGCTCAACTGATGGAGGAGACGGAAACAGTGGGGTGCGGTCACAAAATCTTCCAGTTGATCCGTACCACTGGACCCAGGAAACCAGGCGTCACTGAGACAATCAGAGACAGCGCACGTGGTCTGCTTCACAAAAAAGAGCGCCGTATGGCTCGTTGGGCAGAATACTTTCAAGACCAGTACAGTTGGCCCCCAGCTTCCGGACTTATTCCTACTCCGGTGATGCAGGTTGAGCCATGGACGGTTAGAGTAGAGCCTCCGTCGGAGGCTAAAATCCGTAAAGCAATCAAGTCCTAAATCGTTTTCCTGTTCATGGCCGAATTCTGTGCCACATGTAGTAGTTAAAAATGTAGGTGAGGTCCACTGCAAAGCACTGACCTCCCCGTTCGAACATGTATGGCAGGAGAAAACCGTCACGGCAAACTGGATTTAATCGATCATAGAATGGCAGTTGCATCAAAGGGGTATTAGCCCAACGCGGTTGGTGACAAAATTACTGGCCTCAATTTTCGTTCGTGGCCTCACGGCGGAACAGGAAGCCCAGACTAGGGGAGAGCAGGCAGGTTTCCACCCTGGACGGGGCTGTATAGACCAAAGATTCACTTTGCAACATGTGCTAGAGAAGCGCCACGCATACCGCTGGTCGACAATAGCTGTGTTTCTTGATTTCATGAATGCGTTCGCTTCAGTTGATGGATGCATGCTGTTCAAATGCCTGCGAGAAGAGATGTTCCCATGAAATGAGAACATTTTACCTGCTCTATACTCGAACACTACTGGCCGTGTCAGAGTCTTTTACTATCTGTCGGATAGCTTTCAGACAACAAGTGGCGTTGGTCAGGTTTACCCAATTTCCCCATTTTTGTTCAATTTCGTCGTAAACACCATCATGGTGTGTTCCCTTGCGAAATCGCAAAACGCAGGCATTGTGATGCTGTCTGGTGAAAGGCTAGTTGATCTTGCTTGTGTGGACGAAATTGTCTTACTATTTTATGAGATTTGGACCGCCCAGCCAACCCTGAATAACCACATTAGAGTGGTCCCATTAGTGGGTAGGAGTTTCGCGCCTTCAAAGTGCAAAGTGTTGCTGCAAAACCACCAGCCACTTGATGACCCCGTGGTTCTAGCTAGAGGGCAACTTGAAGTACTCGATCAATTAACTTAAATTGGCAGCTGTATCAGCAACGATGCGTACACAGCCACTGAGGTTATTTCAGGTATTGCAAAACTAAAGCTGCCTTCTTAAATCCGCGAGAGCTGTGGCGACAGAAAGGGGTTTCCCTCCATTTGAAAGGCCTTATTTACAATGCCACAGTGAGGTCCTTCCTAATCTATGGGAGTGAGACTTGGCCCCTTCAGTCTGAGGCACCTTCAAGTCTTTGCTCATCACTGGCTGCGGAGCCTTACTGGTGTTGGGTGGTACCAGCATGTCCGCAACGATGATGTGCGTAGGCGAATGATAAGCTATGATCCTCAAGCTAGTACCTTAGAACAACAGGTGGCACCGAATAAGTTGTCTTTGACATGCACTACGTATGCCTGGTCGCCACCTACCGACGGGAACATTGTTACGTTTGCCAGATATAGGGTGGCGCAAGGTCCAAGGTGGGCAAACGTTGACTTGACAGCGGGAAATGAAGCCACTGATGACCAAACTTGGTGTCGTCGGTTCCTCTTGCCTTCCGGGCTGAAGTCCACGTGACTCGGCTTGTGCTTGGCTCGAGACTTTACAGGATATGGCTCGCAACGGACACCAGTGGCGCGTCTGCTGCCATCTCCTAGTCGGACATACTGTTTAACGTGTGTTTGATTCTGAGTTAGCTGCAGGGTAAAGGCTGATTATAACGTTTGGCAGTGAAAGCAGCAAGGAAGATCTCTCGCCGGTGCCGGCTTATCTGTGCACGCTAACCAGCTTTTGATGATGGCATGTTGTTGACAAGGTGTAGACTCGTTGACTCTGAATTTTTAATTAGAGCATTAAGGTTTTCCGGTAAGCCCCTTCTCTCCCTCTTATTACTCTTTGTTCTATATGTCGTTATGGTTGTATGGCATAAAAGCATCAGTTCAAATAGCTGATGCACTGCTCTTGATGATGATGACGATGGTGATGATGCTGATGATGATAATGAGGATGAGGATGATGACGTGCCTGTTTGGTTGCGGCTCAAAAGAAGATGATTGCTGCTGACTCAAAATGGCTAAGGATATGGCGCACAAACGAGACCACTGAAAGATCTGTGTATATACTTGTGTAGATTCAGCTGTTTAATGCCCAATAATCGAAGACAAAGTGAACAAAATAGCGCGTGAAGAATATCAGAAACTTTCCGTCTTCTTGAAGCACAATAGCTGAAATGTGTCTCCCCCTTAGTAAGTGCCTAATGCTAATGTTGCAGCTAAGCAACCTTTCCATCCGAACATTTGCCAGCTTTTTTTCTCACAGTTTATTAATTTGACCATTATATATACATATACCTCCCAAATATAACCCTCAATTGTTCAGCATGTTCACTGAGATAACTGAAAAAATGTAAATTAATTATACACTATTTCGATTTAAATGTCTGGCGGCTACTGTTGGGGATATGCGCATCAAGTTCGCAGCTATTTCGGATTCAATTGCTGCGTCTCCGGTTGAACAGGCTGCTGTATGAAACGCTGGTTGCGTACCACTAGTCCGCAAGCTTGCAACAAATTCAAATAACTAGTGGTCACTCATGGGACTGAGTGACCACAAGTCAAATTAGTCCACCATTTAAATTAAGGGGCTTAACATCGGTTTCAACTGAAAATCCGGAGTTGTTAAACATTTTATTCCCACTGTTTTGGGGCTCCGTCGTTAAGCTGATGTAGATCCCACCTATAGTTTTCGGACCAGAGACGCTAGCTCTTTGGCAATCACAACTTTTATCGTCTACACTGGACCTAAGATTTACGAATCCCGCAAATGCAACCAGCTGATTCTAAGTCCAAGGTTGCTGTCAGGGTTGATTTTGTCATTTCACAAAATTCATCCGGAACCATCCAACTCAGAATGTGTTAGCTCTGAAATCATTGGGTAGGTACAGTCACGTTATACAAAGTGGGCACTGCGTAAAGAAAACTCGTTAACGGCAACTTATCACGTACTGTCCCCAAGTTCTTGTTGCCGTTGATGTCTTTAGCTTCTCCCCATGTCATTAAAGTATCTGGAAGTCATGCTGACCCATTGTTTAGCGTGGCTGCTTCATTTGGATGAAATAATGCACAAAATCAGAAGACGCTTTGTATCTCTCAGCCCCGATATTTTTCTCTCTAACATGAAAATACGGTTCATGAAGTGCTGTCTTCTACTGCACTGGACATACGAGTGTGATCTCTAGGCTCTACATATATATGCTTCTTAACCTATCTGAACGGTAAATAAAACACTTGTCTTGCTGCAGGAGCCTTCGGAAATAAGCTTTAGTCAAATTATGGTACCTGCTCATGATTATTCTTGCTCAAATCTTGCTTAGAAAATGCTCACCGACAATAGTCACCCTACTAGTATTTCGGTGTCTGCCGGTGTGTCTACTATTTCCAAAAACCAAGCTATAGCTCAGTATATGCAAGCAACTTCTGGATCCCCAACTATGGGACGTCAGTAGATTGTTCAATGTTTGCCCACTTCCTCTCTTAGCTGACCAAGTCACATGTGCCGCAGCATGGACGTAACTAATGCAACACAGTGTCACACTAACCTGGGTATTGTCGTGCGCCGCCTGCAGTAATCGGAGTAAAGGACAGATGATGTGTTTTGGATGATGCAGTTGCCGCTGTGTTGGCTGCGACACCACGCTGAACGCGGTTCGAATGGTTTTGCCCCGATATCACTTCAGCACTGGATACAGCCATCTGGTTGATCACCAAACAAGACAGAATAAGTGCAGAAATCGCCGACATGAAAGGAGGTGAAGGGTAGTGTCTAGTTCCGTCACATCTGAAAAGGGAAGCATTGGTAGACAAGCATTATATGCGATTCTAATGGTGTAGACAACGGCGCATAAGCTACGCTTGAGAACGACGATCATTCAGGGGTATAGGGAGAAAAAACGGATGTTAAATAAAGGGGATTGCACATTTCACACCGGGGCTGGAGACGAAAATGCTCCAATTTGGGAAGCCAGCTTACTCTGAGAAATTACGGGTTCTCCGGATATGTAGCCATTTAAAGTATAAATTACGATCCAATCCTCAGGTGCGCTATCTAATCCTCAGGTGCCGTATGAGCACGGTGTCGAGTTTTTGCAATGGGTGATTGATAGGCTGTTCTATGTGGATGAGGGCGGGCTCAAAGTCAAACAGATCGCTCGTCTAGGAAAAAGAACCGAGGGCAAAATTCGACCTTTGAGAGTGAATTCTGTCGAAGAGGCAAGTTCTTATTTACTGTTGTCCCGTCAAATAGGCTGAAGGGTATAAAGCTCCACTTGCGCGCTGACTTTGATCCAGCAGACAGTGAGAAGCTCAAGTCTGCGAAGATTGAACTAAAGCGATGCACGGACGATGGAGAAACAAATCACCGTATTGTAAATTTTCGGGTAGTTGTCCGGATTCCTCCGCGAATCCGGATCAACAGGTTGCTGATGCTTCAGAGACGCCCAGCGGTTCCTACCGCGACCTGCGCGTAGCCTTTACCAACCTCTGCAGTCTGCTGAACAAGCGCGATGAGCTGTACTACTTTGTAAGCTCTCAGCGACCAGACATATTAGGCCTTGATGAGAAATGGTTAAACTCCGTCGTAACCGCACAAGAAGTGGAAATCAGCGGCTACTCATGCTTCCGCTGTGATAGACCATCAAGTGATCGCGGTGGCGTTCTACTTTACATAAAGTCTTTCTTGTGTGGGAGACTGGTGAGCGCCTACCGAAGCGCTGATGGTCTATGTGAGCAGTTATGGCGTTCGATTCACCTCAGACGATGCGAGATGCCCGTGGGCGTAGTATATCGCGGTCCAATGAGCAGCTGTTTGGACTGGTTGCAGCATGTCCGCAATCCCATAAGTCGTCAGATGTTCCTACTCATGGGCGATTTCAACTTGCCCCGAATACAGTGGCCAGAGGCTGAACTTCTCCCCGGCCATTGTGGTCGAAAGGAAGTTTACGGAGCTGCTATTTGAAACCGGGGTCACACAGCACATCAATCAACCGACGCGCATAATTGCACGTGCGACTCCATAGTGCTTAGATCTGCTTTTGACTACTTGTGAGCAACGTGTGCATGACATAAAAGTCTTAGAGCCGCTGGGAGCGAGTGACCACTCGATGAGCATAGACAGCTTGGAACTATAGCTGCCGTATTCTCCTCCGCTGGAGCCAGCCTTCAACCACTGGAAGGCGGACTTTAATGACCTCAATCGTGCAGTGAGCCACATGGACTGGTCTTTGCCAGAGGATTCGTCTATTGAAACCTGTTGGACTACCATTAACGAGGGAGTGAAATTGTTGTGCACCCGATTTGTACCCCTCAAATATCGGAATGTTGGGCCAGTCAAACCAAATTGGTTCAACAAAAAGTACGGCGAATTGGCCCGACGACAACGCAGACTATGGAACAAATTTGTTTTATCTGGTTCTGATGAGGACTACAAGATGTACAAGGTACAGACATCGCTGCAACAACGCGAAAACAAGAAAACGCATAAGCTTCGAAGAGCAGCTTGCAAACTCCGCAAAAGCTGCTCCCAAGAGGATCTTCGCATACGTGAAGCGACGCCTGAGTGTAACGCTACAAGGCGTTTGGAAATTTAAGCTACGCGTTCCCCACCGGAAAATTCGACAAAAGACCAGATCCGGACCTGAGAAAACGGTGCTATTTGTACAAATTCATCGTACCAAAGTAGAAATTACCTTAACGGTTTTCCAAACACAAAAGTTTACCAACAGATTTCAATCAGTTCCACAAAAGGTCCGTAAGCCAAGGTGCACACGAAACAAATGGACATAGAGGTGAGACTGAAGTTATTATAAGGCAATTGAGCCAATCGTAAGCGTCCGCCAACGGGAACGGGTTGAGGACAGACAGACCTGCCACACTGGATACATGAGTTGTGGGAACACAAAATCGCTTATGTCAAGAGAACAATGACAGGTCCATGGGGGCGGGGTGAAGTTAAGATAAGTCACCGGGGTCACTCGCTAAGAGCATCGGGGCAGAGAACAAAGGAATGGAAAGTAAGGGAGTTAGCAAACATAATCGATCCAGACGGCCGAGCAATGTAGAACTGGGCATTCAACATGGGAGAGACTGAGGTGGTCAAAGTTCTTTCTACACTGAGGCCTGTAGCCAATGTTCTAGTGTTGGAAGGCTCAGATGGACAGCTAATAACGTCGAGCCCTGATCGTCCGTCCGCATTGGCGTCGCACTTCGCCTCCGTATTTGCAAGTGACCAGGTGTCTGTAATGAGCTCGATGAGTACCGCTCCCGATGAACTTGACAGCCTAGACTGCAGCATTGAAGATGTACGCAAGCTTCTAGCAAATCTTGACAGGACGAAGCCTGCTGGGCCAGATGGAATCCACCCACTGATTCTCAAGTCCCTATCGGCCATCATCTCGCCTTCTGTAACTGAGCTGTTCAACAGGTCACTATCCACTGGAATATTACCGGGCGACTGGAAATGCTCAGTCGTAAAGCCAATACCGAAAGGTGGTAACCCAAGCAAAGTGGATAACTACCGGCCGATCTGCCTGACCGCTGTTTTGGCAAAGACGCTCGAGAAGATCGTGAAGAAGAGCCTACTGCAGCTTCTCGAGTCGAAAAATCCTTTTGACGCCCGCACAGCATGGTTTCGTGAAAGGTCGCTCGTGCATCACCAACCTACTGTTGACGAGGCACGAATGGTTACAAGCGCTGAACCAAGGCAAATCAGTCGATATCATTTACATTGACTTCACTAAGGCTTTTGACAAGGTAAATCATACAGTGCTCGGCGACAAGCTGAGGGTGTGCGGTGTTGGTGGCTCGCTTCACCAATGGATCAAGAATTTCCTTGTTGATCGAAAGTGGAGGGTCCAGGTGGACAACCATCTAACGGACTGGTATCCATCGAGCAGCGGCGTGCCACAAGGCACTGTACTGGGGCCGATTTTATTTCTCATTCATGTAAACGATGTGCCTCAGCTACTCCAATCACCTTGTGCGTTGTTCACAGATGACTTGAAAATGTGGAGAGTAATCCGCACACCCAATGATTATGATTTGTTTCAGCAGGATCTCGACTGCCTCTCCACGTGGTCTGCAGAGGTCAACCTTCCGATCAACCCGGTCAGGTCGCAATTCAGGAGGCTAGGTAAGTATGAGTATTGCCGAAGCTACATCGTGGCTGGTCAACCGTTGCACCACGCCCTTTTCGGGCGCGACCTCGGTGTACTCTCACGATACGACCAAAGTCCATGGACAACACGGATAGGATTTACCAAAACAGCCTTCGTATGCTTTGGGCGCTCAGGTGCAGCTTCAGCACTTGGTCCGAAGAGATTGCCACTCGCCTGTTCGTCTCAATAATACGACCAATGCTGGAGTATGGCTCTCCGGCGTATTGTTCTATCACCCGGGGTGAGGTAGAAAAGATTGAGCGCGTGCAACACGTCGCCACCAGGCTGATTCCCAACTTACGATGTGTGCCGTACGAAGACCGATGTAAGAAACCAGGGCTGTACACCCTAGCTTATCGTCGACTGAGGGTTGACCTGATCATGATACACCGGATATTTCGTCTGGGAGATTACCCCATGTTGAGACAACTGCTTCATCTGCGCACACCAAGCAGCACACGGGGACACCGGTATAAGCTTGTCGTACCGATGTTGAAGCGGGTCGCTCAGCAACTACCTTTCGAACGCAGAGCGGTGGATGTATAGAACGGCCTGCAGCAGCAAGTAGTTGAGGCAAAGTCGGTGTCGGAATTTAAGAAGTTCTTGGACAACCACTTTGCTGACGGCAGATATGTTGAGGGGTACACAACATAACGAGTCTTTGTACCTGAGGGAGATTGGATGCAGCTACATAGAGCAACCACTACTTGCTGCTTCCATCCAGTAATCAGTAATCGCTTTAACTCCTAAAAGACATGTTACGTGAATTGCTCTGGTCGACTCTTCTGTCTATGTACATGCTTGTAAATTTCTGATGATGAACCACGGAAAACAATTGTTCGCATTTGGCCTCGTGTTCTCGATGCTTTTATGGGATGTCTAATCGTCCTTAAAGTGACTTAAAGCACCGCTTACAATGGTGTTCCACAAGGGTATTTTCCTGGCCCGCCATTATTCTTTATTTGTATAAATGACTTGGCTCCTATCTTTGGGGACTCTTGCTATATCCTTGTGGATGAGTTAAAACTCGTTAATAGGCGCAATCAAAACACGTTTTTTAAACACGTATACATGGTAGCGAGATAGCAGATCTCATGGGCTTTACCTCCTAATAGCAATAAATGCCAGTCACTAGATTCCAGTGGTAATGGGATTACACAGCAAACCTCTGCGAAAACAGCGGCGTTCCGGCTTGTCCATGTAACGTATGAGGTAGGTATCACTGTGAAAAATATGTTTACACCCTCATCACAGTGTCAGCATGTCGTGAATAAACAGCGGTAGGAGCTAATCCTTCCCAGGAGAATAATACGCAACGCTAAATTTATGGATTTCCTCCTCCCATGTAGGAGGATGATGTGACATCAGAAGACTGTGTACATGCATGGGCGTTCTACCTCCGGGAAGATGCCTTTTGTATAGAACTGTCCAAAAACGGGTGACTAGGATGATTAAGTGTTAATGTGAATGGTCATATAAGGAACGCTTGATGATTTTGGGATTGTCCTCTATGGTGCAGTGTGGGTTAAGAGAGGACCTGAAAAGATGTCCCACTTCAAGCCATTGTTCCTTTCTAATTAGCTAAATCCG